CAAGCAGGGCCTGCACTCCCAGCTGCCATATCCATGTGTCCTTAGGTAAATCCTGTTTGTCATGGCCTTTCAACAATGGAGTATTGGGTTTGCATGGCCAGGTTTTGGTAGCAAGGGGGGCTATAGGGTTGGCTTCTGTGAGAAGCTGCTGGAACCTTTCCCCATGTCCGTGGAGCCAATTCCAGCCGGCTCCAGGATGGACCCACCGCTGGATAAGGCCAAGCCCATCAGAGATGGTGGTGGCACCGCTGGGATAACGTGTGTAAGAAGTGGGAAAAAGCTGCTGGGCAGCAGCCTGAGAGAGAGTGAGAATGTGTGAGAGGAGCAGCCTTGCAGACCCCAGGGGGGAGCAGTAGGAGGGGCAGGAGGTGCTCCAGGAATGGGAGCTGGGGTTCCTCTGCAGCCCGAGGGGCAGCCCATGGTGAGGCAGCCGTGCCCCTGCACCCAGGGAGGCCCAGGGGGAACAGAGATCCACCTGCAGCCCATGGAGGGCCCCACACTGGAGCAGGGAGATGCCCAAAGGAGGCTGTGACCCCGTGGGAAGCCCGTGCTGGAGCGGGATCCTGGCCGGAGCTGTGGCTCCATGGAGAGAGGAGCCCACACCGGAGCAGGTTTGCTGGGCAGGATTTGTGGCCTCATGATGGAGCTGCCTGTTCCTGAAGGACTGCACTCTGTGGGAAGGGACCTGGGCCGGAGCAGTTCATGAAGAACAGTCTCCTGTGGGAGGGACCCCAGGCAGGAGCTGGGGAAGAGCCTGAGGAGTCCAACCCCTGAGGAGGAAGTAGCAGCACAGACAACATGTTGGACTGACCACAGCCCCCATTTCCCATCCCCTGTGCCACTGAGAGGGAGGAGGGAGAGAATTTGGGGGTGAAGTTGAGTGCAGGAAGAAGGAAAGGGAGGGGGGGAAGGTGTTTTCAGGATTTAGTTTATTTCTCATTATGCTACTCTGATTTGATTGGTAATAAATTAAGCTGGTTTCCCACAGTTAACTCTGGTTTGCCCATGGTGGTAACTGGTGAGTGATCTCTGTCTGCCCTGAACTCGATTCACAAGCCTTTCATTGCATTTTCTCTCCCCTGTCCAGCTGAGGAGGGGAGTGACAGAGCACCTGAGGTCCAACCAGGGTCAAGATACCACAAAGAGTAATAAAGATTTGCATTAGAAATCAAGTCCCTCCCCAGCCCAATCTGCTATCCAGCAAGAAACTGAAGCTGAAATACAACCAAATACATGTATTTTATTGTGACTGGTTCTGTATGTATTTTAAATAACTGAAACTACTGGAACTCTTTGCATGATTAAAGAGAGATACCTGGCAAAGTGGAGAATTGCATCTTGTGCTATCAGTGCCAGTGATGGAAATGAATATGAAGCAGTTTGTACCTGCTTCTTCACATCCCCAGTTCTAGGGCTGGTTCAGTGGGTTCAGTGATTACAGAAAAATACAACGTTGCTGCACCTGGAGTGTTTATTTTCTTGCTCATTACCTTTCCGTGCTCTTACAGGACAGGTTTAAGGTGTTTAGCAATTGTTTTGATGGTATAAGAGTAGCTTAGCAGACCTGAAATTCTGGACAATAATGTTTATCTGCACAGGAGTTTCACTGTTATTACGTTCTCCGTGCAGTTCGAGGATGATTCACAGTTCATTGATTTTGGTATTTAAAATGTATTCATTCATATAAATGCTCTTCAGACAGTTCACATTGATCTTAATACAATCTTAAGTTCTTTATGGCACTCAGTGAAGTCAGGGTGCTCAAGGAACTTAATAAACAGGAAAAAAAAAGAAAAAAATTAATTACCTGGTTGCTTCCACAGCCTTTCATGAAACCTTCTTTTCAATGCTTTGGTGGAGACAGAGCACTTGAAGCATAAAGGTAAAGGCTGTCAAATCAAAGGTTTGGTAATTGGCAGCTATGGTAATATACAGTCTTTTTATTTTCCTTTTCAAGCTGTCTGCTCCATCCGGCTCAGGAATGGCATATTTAACGAATCCCCAGCCTTGAAGAGTTTGTTGTATTAACTATGCCCATGCAAAACAAGTTATAAGACATCATTACAGCCTCTTTCATTTCAGTAATACCTTTTTCAACAATCATCAGGGCCAGCTAAGTTTAAATAATAAACTAGACACATCTAGAGGATCAGAGAGTCAACCAGAGACCTAAAACAGCCTCTGGAAGGGCCTTGCTCTTTTTTTCCATTATCTGAAGGATAGTCAAAGTGTCTCAGCTAAGTGGGGTGGAATTGGGTCTAAGCTTTTCTTGTCATAGTTTTAAATAGGAAAAATATCTGAAGTTGCTGAATTTATAGTAGGCTAAAAGCATGGTGAATTACCTCATGGTTTCTATCAACTAAGAGCATGAATGTGGACCTTGCTGTGCCAGGAATACTAATTGATAGTGACCTGACTCTGTATTTGATAGCAAAGTCAATCAAAATAATTAAATAGTGTGGTATCTGGTGATTGAGTGCACTTAGAACTTGTATTGTTTCACAGATCCACACTTATGCAGTGGCACTAAAATGCAGGCTTAAGCAAGTAATGGCTATTTCTTGCCATGTTTTAAAAATCAGTTTTGGGTAAAGTCATAGTATTTCCGATTTGCAGTGCTAAATTCAATTTTATCCAGATTGCATCTACCTTTGTGGAATTTGCTTATCTCTGTACTTATTTGACATAATCATATCTTCCCATGGTGCAGGCTGGCACTCTCCCTGCTGAATTGTGACACAGTATTGCTTTCTGACTGCTGATGATACAGTGCTGTATTTATGCAAGACTTGAAATATACCACAGAAACCATTAGGCTCATCATGTAAGGATTATACATGATATATATCACTATTTCTTTTAAACAGATAACTGTAATGCTCTTTTGATGCATATTTAATGTAGCAATAGATTACATTTGTACTCCTGTATTGGTAGGAGCACCCAAACCAATGTGCTGAACTCTGTTTTACAAACAAAGGAGAAAAAGTTTTCTCTGGTTATGTCTGAATCCCTCCTCAGAAAACAGGGCACTTTGCAACATCCAATTATTATCTCATCAAATTTTATTGAAAGAGTAATTAACAGAGACAAAATAAGTTTTATTTTTGCTGATTATATCTGCCAAAATCTTTTCCAGAAGAACTCAAAGACCTGCTTCACAGTTTGATTGCCATTTCATGACACCCAGCCCCCTTCAGTGCTATCTGTGAAAAAATAAGATGTATGTTGCATCTGAAGCCTTAGGACAAATTCCCATCATGATAATCACAAAACGAAAGGGCAATCTGAAAAGCCACTTATTTCAAATACAGGAAGATGGCACTTGCTGAACTTAATATTATTTACTAGTCTTTAAGGTCTGTAATTTCCACTCATGTTAATGCATTCTAATTATCATCCTGCTTAGCTTTTGTTTCTGGTGAAGATTAAAGTGGTCTGTTTGATGTGTGCAAAGAAGTGACTACAGAAAATGGTGACTTAATTGGAAGATGTCAGCTCAGAAGAACGTTTTTGACACGAGGGCTTTAAGGCTGTTAACAAACAGACTCACTCATTTGTCTCATCATGAAATGAAAATAAAAATCACAACACTATGGTAAAATCTTGACTAGGAAATGCCTGCAAGACTCTTTGAAGCCTTGGGTTCTTTCCTTTCCTGAGCTTTGGCACTGTGTTATATGCAAACCACGTTCCCCAGAACTGTGAAGGGAAATAGGTTCCATGCAGAACAGATGGATCAGGGCTAATGCGGGGATGTGCACTGGAGATGAGAACAGTTTAATACCACAAGGGGAGACTGGAGGAAAATTGGAAGGATGGGGGTATTTGAACTAATTCATGAATCATTTCCAACTGATAGTTGTGCCTTCAGGCACAGTGAATAATATCAAGGAAGCGTATTTAAAATTTATAAGTTTGTTTTAATGTAGATTAGAATTAAAAGCCGTACTTTGGGATGATTAAAAAAATATCCTGTATTCCCCCGTCCCAAAATGTACCTTTGTGATTTAAATATCACCGATGAGCTTAATTATGTGCACTGTGCCATGAATTGCTGTTTGGAAAACCAAGGCAGATTCATGGACTTGGCCAAAGCTTTTGGGAATGCATTTTTTGGAAGAACTGTATGAGCTGGGAGAACATGCTCTTCCATTTGAATCCAAACTGCAGAGATGCAGCTCTCGAGACATGGTCTAATTGCTAGATTTCATTCAGATGCCTCTCTAAGTCTCCTCTGTCTTCATCTTATCCAAATAGCCTTCAGTCTTATGAGGTTCAGACTGCCCAGAGCTGTGCCAGAGTGAGCAAATGTAGATCCAAAGATCTTTGAATGAGATCTTCAGGCATATGTTACAGAATGAGGCTTTCACCAGAGATATTTCACATCACTGTTATGGTGGATATCTATCTTACTGTAGGGCAGGCAACCACATAAAGAGGTCCACCTGAGAACTGAAATAAAACCCTCCTAAAACCATCAGAATCTGAAAACAATGAAAATATTCGAGTGGTATGTAGCTTCCCAGAGTTTTGTTTATGGATGGAAAAGTACAATTCCATGTGTTAGGGCATTAAAGATTCTGCATTTTGCAAAGCTCAAAGTATATGGATGAACCTGATTACCTGTATTCATTTGGACCTGGTTAATAAGAAAAAAAAAGAAACTGTGAGAAAAGGAAATGTATAGACAATTGTCTGGGTGCTCTGCATTCCCTACATGACTTCTCAGGAGATAATTTTCAAGCTATAGAGGAGGATGTGAAACACTTGACAGTGAGGACAGATTCTGAGAAAAATCTGAAGAAGGTGGGTAGTTCAGTTTGCCAGTAAGGAAATAATCTACACGTGTTTCTGTTCACCAGCACAGAAGATGATGCATTATTCTTCTTGTATACAATTCTTTCGTTCCAGGCAGGGCTCCATAGGAACAGAGAAAGTTATGACTCTAATGGCTTACTTGCCTAAAACTTGATTCTCATCTGCTGATTTCATTGCAGGTTGCAAATCTGGCCTGTTCGATCTCAAATAATGAGGAAGGTGTGAAGTTGGTCCGTATGGCAGCCACACAGATTGATAGTCTGTGCCCACAGGTAAGTAAGATTCCTACTGAAATGTACCTGAGAATTCTTTTAGTGTTTAAAAACATCAGTTAGCTGAGACAGGGAAAACAGCCTGGGTGAAGATTATAACCTTGTCTTTGCCATGACATTGTTGCCTGATTTCCATGACCTGGGAAAAATTCATTCATACCTTGAGACCCACATAGCAAGTGGGGTGTGATGCTGCGTTTGTAACACAGCCCGTAAACTATTTGTTCTTTTTGTTGTGAAAAAACTTTCACTTCTCCTAACAACTGGGTTTGAATAACAGGTAATAAATGCTGCACTCACGTTGGCTGCCAGACCCCAGAGCAAAGTAGCCCAGGACAACATGGATGTGTTTAAGGATCAGTGGGAGAAGCAGGTGCGAGTCCTCACTGAAGCTGTTGATGACATCACTTCGGTGGATGATTTCCTCTCTGTTTCAGGTACTGGGATCAAGGCAGTCTTCTAAAAATATACTCCTAAATTGAAGTAATGGGTCAGAGTGGATAAAAGCTATAATTACTAAAGCATCATTAATCCATTAGTCTGTGTCTATGGGAATGCTGATCTTCTGCACTCAGTGGGAGCAGCCACACCATGTCAATTAATCCCTGGTAGCAATGGTTGGCTTTTCACCTCCCAGAAAATAGCATCCTATTTTCACTTCTATTTCTAGAGAAGTTTTGTTTCAACTCAGTTACAAAGGGGATTTTAACCACCTTTTAAAAATGTGTTCCAGACCTGTGACAGGCTGACAGTATTTGAAGGAATTGTTAGAATCGTTGTGCAGTTGCAGGCAAGAGGAGGAAAGATGAACTTTATAGAATCATAGATTCACAGGATGGTTTGGGTTGGAAGAGACCTTAAAGATCATGTAGTTCCAATGGCCTGCCATAGACAGGGACATCTTTCCCTAGACCAGGTTTCTCCAAGCCCCGTGCAACCTGGCCTTGACACTTTCCTTGCTTTATTCTGTAGCTTTGCTCAGTGTGTCTGTACAGTGGAGCAGATGTACCATAGAGTCCTTGCCCCCTGACCATCTGTACCAGGTTACCAGGCCCTGAAGAGGGATAGGAAGAAGGGAAATAGGCAGAGGCTGCATATGTTAGTGGTCGACCTGACAGTGTTAGTTGTTGGACTCAGTGATCTTAGAGACCTTTTCCAGCCTTAATGACTCCATGGTTCTATGATTCTTGTCTGGGTATGTTGTCAGACATGGCCAGTGTCTGAGAGAGCTGGGAGGCACTTCTGGGTCTCAGAGTTATTGGTGTAACAATAAAACCAGAGAGAAGTAGTAAAGTAGTACAGGAAAACGCAAATCTTTACACTTCTCAGACCTCACTGGGGAGGCTTTCAATGCAAAGCAAGCTCTGCTGTGGAAAAAGTCAAAGTATCTTAGTCCTCACGTAAAGAAGGGATGGAGAAGAGAAGGACATTGACTCTTTGGGTCACAGTCTTTTCTCCATCCTCCTTGTAAAGTGCTACAACTTGTGGCAGAGTGGATTGTTATGATGCAGTCATACACAACGAACACGGTAATTGCAGATTGCTCCGTGTCCTGGGGTAATTGTCTGCTGCAGAAAACTCATTTTCCTATGTCAGTTTGAAAGGTGAATTTCATTGTTGTGCATAAGGACACAGAGTGTGCCAAGAGTGCTTGGCTTACCTGAATGTCTCAGAAGAGGCAAACTTCATGAGACAGTCTGGTCAAAATGTTACGTTTCAATCTACATTACTTTCCTTGATGTTACCTAAATTTTCTAATAGAATCTTGTGAGATTTTAAGTAAAAAAAATATTTATTCTTTTAAAAAATCCCTACTTTTCCTTTTTGCCCTGACCTTTATTTTGTTTGGCTGTATCCTACTACTATTATTAACAGGAAAATGGTTTGACTTAGTTAATTACATTCCACTGTTCAACAGCCCTGTTAGAGTGCTTACTGCAAGCCATGACGAGGAAATGAAAATGAACTGTCAGAATAAAAGGGTACTTCAGAATGTGGGAGCACATTGATTTTTATTTGAGATTTGAGACCGACAAACACTTTTCAGTGGACCTGGTTCTACAGTGAAAGGGCAAACCAGGCTGTAAACTGCTGGCCCAGTCCGCAAACCAAAGAGCTGGCAAACTTTCTCAAATAGCCATTTTCTGATTTGCTTGAGAACTTTGTTTACTCCAAGTGCTTGTATCCATAAACCAGAAGTCAGTTGAATGGATGATGGGGGTTTTCATTTCTTTTTCTCAAATCATTTTTCCTTCCAACTTCTTCTTGACTTAGATCCAAACTTTCCAAGGTGGCTGGGAAGTATAATTTCAATTGAGTTTTTGTTGTTTTTTTTTGTTCCTAATGCTGTCCATAAATAAACACGACATGTATCCAGAAATCCTGTTGCTTGCTTACTCTAGGCTTGGAAGCCTCAGCTTACACAGGGTAGTTTTCTTTTTAGATGTTAAACCAATGAACCATTCTAAATGCTACTGTCTGATTAAATGTAACTCCTGAAATGACACCTCCTCCTCTTCATACTGAGTGTCACGTTTGATGGCATGTTTTAATAATAGGCTACCAAAACAAAGCTGACCATGGTTTTAATAAGTTATTTTATATTCCAAATGCAGTGTCTGTTCAAATGCATGTAGCACTTCTTGTTGGGCAAAATTTGGTTATGCCACCATAAAAGCAATTGATGATGTTTGTGAGAACAAAATAGTGGAGAAAAATTTCAACAAAGCAATGCTTTTTAATTCTATATAGGGAGTTTTTTAAACAAAGGATTTTGCCTTGCAAGTTACTCAGATTCACATCTCAGGGGACTTTCAGTTTCCATCCATAGTTGTTAAAGTGTAAAATTCAACATCATGTAATACATTTCTGAAACTCTCAAATGATCCAACCTTGGGATTTTTAACACTGAAGATTAGTGAGTCATTCTTTTTAGTGGCCAAGGATAATTAATAAAAAGCAGTTGGTGAACTGATTAATTCTGTTGTACTACTACTACAAGGAACAACGTTTCACTTTCAGTTTAGAGGTGTCTGTAACAGAAAAGCAAGTTGTTTTTTAGAGTTGCTGAGTGTCTCAGACTGAGTTTGGTCAAATATGAAATTCAGTCATAGTCTTATTGAAATTACTTTGACTCTCTTGGCTGCTGGCAAATAGTGCCTGACCTAATCAAAATCTGCTTCATCCTTTCACATTATTTATATGAGAATACTACATAAATTATGATACTGCAGCACATGATTCTGAGCCAAAAAAAATAGTGCAGCTCCCAAGAATCCAATAAAGCTGGTCAATATTACCTCATCTGAGCAGACTCACTGTTGTTAACTCTTATTTCAGAATATGCACAGTCACATATAATTATAGTGTGTGTCATGTAAAGTTCAGAGCTTATTTTCTGGCATAGATGGAGTGCAGGAGACGAACTGCTTGTGCCCAGGCTCCCTGCTATCTACAAAGGCCATTTGCTGTTGTGTTTTCAAAATTATTTATTTTTTTTTCTGACTTATTTAGGCGCAAATGAACCAAACATATTAAATTTCGTAGGAGTGTGTAAATTCATCTTCAGACTGTTTATTAGAGAATCTGCATAATGTTTGACCACTTTCCTTTTTGCACTGATTTTTATTACACCAAAATTCAGTGTGATGGTTGAAATTAATGTGACTGGTTTGAAAAGAATTGCTGGTTGGGACTCATAGTATAGGTAAGATGATGTAGTCCAGTCCCTGTTCAAGATAAATATCACACTTGGGAATTTTACTATTATATGGCATAATATCACAAAAGAGAATTTGCTTTGCAGAGCTGGATAAAGACAGATATCAATTTTTTAACACACTGACATTTGCTGTTTACCCAAATCTGTAAGCTTTGCTGTGAGAAAGAAGGAAATTAAATAAGCTGTATTTTTTCCCCTTCATTCCAGAAAACCATATTCTGGAAGATGTGAATAAGTGTGTGATTGCTCTCCAAGAGGGGGATGTGGATACACTGGACAGGACCGCGGGTGCCATCCGAGGCCGTGCAGCCAGAGTTATTCACATCATTAATGCAGAGATGGAAAACTATGAAACTGGAGTTTATACTGAGAAGGTGCTGGAAGCTACCAAACTGCTCTCTGAGACAGGTAAGTTTATTAGAATTATTGATTTATTGAAATATTCATTATTTGGTCACACAAAACTTTCAGTTAATTCTCTGAGATCTGTAACTCAGAGGGAAATCTGTGCTTAAAAACAAGATATAAACAAATAAATTCATGACCACGGATGGTTTCTTTATTCTCTGCTCAATTCTGTAACAGAAGTCATACTGAGAAGAGATTCTGTAACCCATCAAGACTGGGCTGCTTCATCAAAGTTTCTAGATTTGAATAAATAATGCACAGTCTTTTCTTCTGAGTCAGTTGATTATGTATTATGTGTCTCTGGAAAATCATTACAAACATTACTCTGTGGTCTGTGCAGGTGAATGTACTTGTTGATGACTGAAATTGTGTTTCTAAACAGAACAAGTTTTCACTGAAAAATACATATGAGCAACTGAAAATGTATTATCTGATTGAAAAAATATAAAAGTCTGCTAGATTATATAAAATATGTAGAGTATATAAAAAATATAAAAGTTTGCTGGATTGATAGACTGGGGAAAAAGAAATCCTCTTTCTTTTTTTTTTTTTTCCCAACCTGTTTTTACCTTGACAGAGCAGGGATTGGGTTCATCTAAATGTGGGTTATTGCATCTAAGCTGGTCATTTTAAACCCCTTTATACTCAATACTGTCTGTTGCTATGTGCATCTCAATAATTCAGTGCAGTCAAGTGCTCTCATCTTGAAGCAGTGGTCTATATTTTTTCTCATGAATCATGCTTTAGATTTTATTGCCTTAGACTAGGTCTCCCCTCACTGACCAGGTGACCAGGTATGACACAGATTCACGTATTATGGATGTCTGAAAATGTCTGAGCTGATCCTCCCCCACCTGATTGCACTTGCTCATCTGGGATTTAAAGTCATCAAGATCATTTTAGAGGGAACAAATGAAAATTGCATCTGTTCAGGATGCAGCAAATGTAGCTTTTGGACAGAAAAAACAGTCATTTCCCTATGAGATGGAAAAGCAAAAACTTTTGTGCCTCTGGCAGTCTTTGTTTTTGCTTTGAGAACAGGAATCAACAAAATAAGCTAAAAAAATATGTTGAGACAATTTAATATTATTGTGTTATTGTTCTGCCCAGTGTAATATCTTTTAGCCCTAATAGAGACCCCAATTCTTATTTGAACAGATAAATCCCAATGACCAAAATCAAGAATTTCTTCTTTTTCTGACCTTCCAGTAGGATTTATTAGAAATTATAGCTGAAGTGTGGATTCATGAGATTGTAATTATGACTAGAAAGTTGTGCCTTGAACATGTGCAACACTGGTTGATCCACAATATCCTGTAGAATTAACTTTCACAGACTCTTTCCTGTGAACTGAAGAGAGAAAATTTGGGGAGAGGTCAAAAATCAATGATATAATTTTCAGCCTATGATACACACTCCACTGGGCTCTACAAAGGCATTTCTTATTCATCATTCCTGTTCTCTTTACATCTGGCTGGCCTTAAAAATGTCCATAATGCCCTTTTGCCTTAAAAATGCCCAAAATGCCTTTTGGCCTTAACTTGAAGATAATGCAGTGAGGTTTGCTTCTTTTTTTCTTAAAGTTTAGTGATTTGAGTTGTGTGTGTTTTAGGTGAGAGGTGTAAGAGTGGGTCCAAGAGTTGTTCTCATTAATCACTCTAGTTCTTACTACCCAACAAGAAATCAGTGGAATAAGTACTGTAAATGTGGCTAATTTCTAGAAGTGTATGAACTGGTGTTATGAATTCACAGGAGGAAAATAATCTTTTCAGTCTGGCATGGTAAAATAGTTTGTTGCACTCTTGTGTTAAAGTTCCTTTTTGGTCAAAGAGGGATTTTGCAGAATTCTTCCTATCACTAAGACTCCTTCATTAAGCGAAACAAAATGTCTGTTCAGGCTTTTTACTCAGCTAAAATTTCTGACCTAATGTTCCATAAAATTTTTTGTTACAAATTTTTCAACAGAGTATAAAGGCAGGTATAAAGTGCCATTATACAGATCAATAATAGGCCCAATAAATACTTATATTCCATATTTATTGTACTTTTTAATATAATTTGAATTATAACTAAGTGCTATAAACTATGGACTAAGTACATATTGATGACATCAAGTTGTTAATGCTGAGATTCAATACTTAAGAACAAGTTCCTCTTCCTCAAATTTATTACTTATTTTGTATTTTGTCAAATCAAAGTAAACCTGAGGGTATTAAAAAAAAAATAAATTAAAAAAATTGTGTTTTCAATGCTGAGAACTTTAAATCATGTACAAATTGTGCAGCAGAAGTTCAGGAGACAAAATGGGCCCAAATTCAATGGAGCTGATGAAGCTTAAACAATTTATGCCAGGCATGAATGTGGATCATTAATATTACAGCACAATTTCTATCTGCAGCTTTTCAGGCCATTTACAAAGGCATTGATTATTATTCCTCTGTGATTAAAAAGGTAGAATTTACTGACTTAATTCATTGCCCTAAAATGCAGTGGTTAAAATGGTATTTAGATGCCCCTGTGCCATTCTGTGCCCCATATACCCTCTCCCAGAGAACAGATCCCTGCCTACAAATGCACTGGGGTGGAGGATATTGAGACCTTGGTGGGCTGGAGCGTGTGCAGGGAAGGGAATGGAGCTGGGGAAGGGGCTGAAGCAGCAGGAGGGGCTGAGGGAGCTGGGGGGGCTCAGCCTGGAGAAAAGGAGGCCCTGGGGTGCCTTCTCACTCTCTCCAATTCCCAGACAGGAGGGGGGAGCCAGGGGGAGTTGGGCTCTGCTCCCAGGGAACAAAGGATGAGAGGAAGCGGCCTCAAGTTGCACCGGGGGAGATTTAGATTAGATATTAGGGATGTTTTTTTCATAGAAATAGTTGTTAATGATTGGAACAGGTTGCCCAGGGCAGTGGTGGATTCACCATCCCTGGAAGTGTTCAAAAAATGTGTGGATGTGGCACCTGGGGACATGGTTTAGTGCTGGCATTGGCGGTGCTGGGGGAACAGTTGGACTTGATGATCTTAGAGATATTTTCCAACCTCAACAGTTCTATGATATGGGTACCTATGAATACATACATCTATTTCTACATTCTTTCTATTCATCACCTGGGGATCCTGCACAGATTTTATCAAACACTCAAGAATGATACGAGAGATTTATTTGGATTCAGGTTCCACCCACAGATGTGTGTATCAAACTCTCTGTGACAAGCACAATCATGAACACCTCACCACTTCTGTCTTTGTTCCTTTTTTGTTTTATTTTTTCGATTGACCTTTATTCATTTTTAAATGAAGTGGTTTTGGAAGCTGGGAAAAATTTAGTTAAATAACAATGGAAGGGAAATAAGCACATTACCTTTTTCTTATTATTTTAGCTGTCTGCTCAGGAAAGGAAAGCCTCTGTTAAGCCTCTTTTTCCGGGGATTTCAATTTGTTATGTGAGTATTGGGTTGGACCCACAGTGGAGAAATATGGATACACAATTTTGGAAAGAGAAGCACCTTGCTAATGGTTTTTTTTAGAGGAGAGAAAGTTAATCTTTAATGAAAATTATACTGGTGGGTTCTTAGAAATTGAAACTGCAAATGTTACTTTAAAAACCAGTCACAGTTCCAAGTTTTATTTGTTTGTTGTGTTAATTTACAGGCTTTGGAAAATATGGGGTGTGGGTTTTTTAGTGTTTTAATGCTTTCTGGCCTGCCCTTGACTAAGAACTGCCTTTAAAGCCAAGTACTTGGTAGAGGTTAGACTCTTATCTCTGACAGCAGTATTAGGGAGTGAGGGATTGGTTAATGTCTTTTTAAAATTGGGTACTTTCGTTTTCCTTTAAAAACCAAAATAAAAGCTTAATTCTCTCATGATGACTTCCTTATAAATCCAGGATGAAACCTGTAAAACCACAGAGTCCACAGGGCTCGCTGGGAACAAGCACAAAACTCATAGATTTTAGTGGGTGTTAATTGTGTGCAGGAGTAAACCAGAGCTTCAGGCTCTCGTTGTTTGTTTGTTTGCTGGCTTTTTGGGGCACTGTGAAGTTTTACTAATATCTGTAGCTTGGTTTCCTAAATAACATGACCCAGGGGCTCCCTCAGGGCATCTGGCACCTGAATGAGTATGGGGTGGCCTGAGGCCAGGCTGGGATGTCAGGCTGTGGATGGGAGTCAGGATCAGGCTGAAGAAGGGAAACTAGGGTCAGATACAGCCCTGATGCCCTCTGTTGAATGTTATATTGGCATTCAGATTTGTAGAGAACTGTGAAATTATACTGTTACAGGTGGTCCATGCTGAAGAAAAAAAAAAAAAGGAAAGAAGAGTGGAAAGGAAAAAGGATTAAAAAAAAAGGTTAAGATCAAGAATAAAGGTAAAAGGAAAGGAGTAAGAGAAAACAGAGCACAATTTCTGTTTGAATATTGATATCTCTCCTATTGCTCAGCACCCTTTTGTAGAGTGACCAAGTCCAGCTGAGACTGTCCCATTGTCTTTAATAAGGAGGAGATTGAAGTCTACTCAGCAATTATTTGAGAAGCTGTAAAAACTGAAGGGAAGAAGCTTGAGTTTCTAAATAAGGAAGAAGAATTGACCCTAGAAAGAAATCAAGTAGCAGACAATGAGGCTAAATGTTATTTTTCAAGATTTCTGAGGTTCAGGAAGGAGAAAAAACTGTGACATTCTTTAAAGGTCAGAGGGTTGAACTTAAATTGGGAAAACTGGAGTCGACTTTGCTGGGTTGTAATGAAAGGAGGTGAATGGGAAATGAAGGAGAAAAGAGCAGAACAAGTTAAGACCAGAAATGCCTGGAAAGGGCTGTGAAAAGTTTCCGACAATTTTTGGATTTCTTCAGTTTACACTGGGATGTCTGGAAACCATCCTGGAACAGCAAGTGCTGTAGTACTTGGGTTACTCCTGTGAAGGACACTGGAAATATGAAGTCGTCTGATTCACACCAGAAATTTTGAGTTTCAGCTTTTAGCATGTTATAAAAATATCCCAGTAACGTTGTAACT